GACAAGAATGTACAGGGAGAAGATTAATCACCACTTCAGTATTCCATGTGCAAAATGATTGTGTCTTTGCTTGAGTATGTCTGATTCTGAACTGGACAACTGGATGTTCCAGTTAAAAGACAGACACAGCAGAATTACTCTTTGCATGGAGTTGGAAGCCTTTAAGAAAATCTGAAATCGGAAGTAGGAAAACTTAAAGAATATAACCAATTTGACTACAGACTATTGTGTAATATATGTAACTAGTGATATTAGGCTAAATTAACTTGTCATTTCTGGTTTTGAGTACAGAATACCAAGAGTTTAAATAGTTTAAAATATCAATCATCACATTCTGGAAGTACGTTTCATTTTTCTTAAACAGTGAATTGGTTTTTTTTTAATGTTATTAATGGAGAAATACAACAAAGATAGCATTTGTCCAGTGTATATATCATCCATGTAGTAGGCTGCAGAACTGAGCAAGCATCAAAACATTTTTTTTTTCAAATTAAATAAGTGAAATGGTATGATTATGTATGTGTATGCATCTAATACAGATGGGATGTGTGTATGTATGTAGTATATATTGTATATAAGATGCGCACATTCTCTCTTTCTCATTTGATACTGATTTTTATTTATCAATTTTCTTTTTTTAGGATTTAGTCTTTAATACTGTAGTTGAAGGAAGTAAATGGGGAGAAAGTTGGGAAACTACAAATGCAAAAATGTTGACCTTGTGCCATGACAATGATAAGTATCATGTATCCTCATTTATTTGTATGAATTCATTACATAACCCTATTCTGAATGTATTAATATTAATTTTGAATCCAAATACTGGACATTTTGATGAGAAATTAGAATAATTCTTGTGTAGTGGGGCCCCAATATTGAACATGGCCTTTGTGTAATACTGTATGGTGGTAGCAAAAATAATAATACAGTAAATGTTATTCAGTGTGACTCTTTCATGGCAAATTTCACCTGATGGTCAGGAAACACTTTATTTTGTGCAAATGTTACTAAACAAAGAACAGCCTTCACTTATGCATGTGCAGATGGCAATTGTGAGATTAATGATCCATGTGAAGCATATACTCCCTTACTCAAATAGCCAGTTTTTCCAACAGTCCCATCCTCTAGTGTTTGTTGATGATTTTGAAAAATCCTTTCACTATGTGAATGCATTCAAGGTCTTCCAGGACATTTTGATTATCAACATGGCTATGTAAAAGCAAAATGTAATCAAGTTATTTTCAGGGGAGTAGGGGGTTGGTTTTTTATTTTACCTTCAGTGCTATCTGTCCTCATTTGCTCTGGATATTCTCACTTTCTGTCTTCTGGGTAGATGAGAACAATTTTAAAAAGTTAGATTTTGGATGTAGCTTGGATATACCACCAACAGTTCAGAGCCTATCCAGATGTTTCAGATCTTAACGTGCACAATGGCATTTTGGTTTGTCTGACCATAA